ACCCTCTATGGCCGGCCAACTCCGCTGGCCAATGATTTCCCCCTTTGCCGATTTCTACTATTTATTCAGCCTGCAAAGGAGTCTGGTAGAGACTAGTACAGGAGAGCAAAGGTGATATGGGAAGGCACGTGGTAAAACACACCGGTGAGAAACCCTACATGTGTGGGGAATGTGGATACAGAACAACTAAAAAGTCTGACTTATTCCGACACATGAGAACCCATACAGGAGAAAAACCCTACATGTGTGACCAATGTGACTATTCTGCAATAGACAAATCCACTTTGGCCCAACATCTAGCAAAACACACTGGTGAGAAACCCTACATGTGTGGGGAGTGTGGGTACAGGACCGTTAGAAAGTCTCACCTATCCGATCACATGAGAACCCATACAGGAGAAAAACCCTACAAGTGTGACCAATGTGACTATTCTGCAGCACGGAAATCCACTTTGGACAATCATGTTATGAAACACACCAGTGAGAAACCCTACATGTGTGGGGAATGTGGATACAGGACAACTAGAAAGTCTGACATATCCCGACATATGAGAACCCATACAGGAGAAAAACCCTACAAGTGTGACCAGTGTGACTATTCTGCTGCACAGAAATCAAGTTTGAACAAACATCTCGCAATGCATGCTGGTGAGAAACCCTACATGTGTGGGGAGTGTGGGTACAGGACAGCTTACAAGTCTCACCTATCCGAACACATGAGAACCCATACAGGAGAAAAACCCTACAAGTGTGACCAGTGTGACTATTCTACAGCATGGAAATCCACTTTGGACAATCATATTATGAAACACACTGGTTTTCTCGAGAAACCCTACATGTGTGGGGAGTGTGGGTACAGGACAACTAAAAAGTCTTACTTATCCCAACATATGAGAACCCATACAGGAGAAAAACCCTACAAGTGTGACCAGTGTGGATACAGAACAGCTCGCAAGTCTGACGTATCTAAACACATGAGAACCCATACTGGAGAAAAACCCTACATTTGTGGGGTGTGTGAATACAGGGCAACTCGCAAGTCTGACTTATCTGAACATATGAGAACCCATACAGGAGAAAAGCCCTACAAGTGTGACCAGTGTGACTATTCTGCAATAGAAAAATACACTTTTGCCCAACATGTAGCAAAACACACTGGTGAGAAACCCCACATGTGTGGGGAGTGTGGATACAGGGCACCTAAAAAGTCCCGCTTATCCGAACATATGAGAACTCATACTGGAGAAGAACCCTACAAATGTGACCAGTGTGACTATTCTGCAAGACACAAATCCAGTTTAAACAGACATCTAGCAAAACACACCGGTGAGAAACCCTACATGTGTGGGGAATGTGGGTACAGATCAAGTCACAAGTCTGACTTATCTAAACATATGAGAACCCATACAGGAGAAAAACCCTACAAGTGTGACCAGTGTGACTATTCTGCTGCACGGAAATATGATTTGGACATCCATCTTGCTAAACACACTGGTGAGAAACCCTACATGTGTGAGGAGTGTGGGTACAGGACAGCTGACAAGTCTCACTTATCCCGACATATGAAAACTCATACACATCACTACTAACTAGGACAGCTCAGAAGTCCTACAAGCGAAATTTCACACTCTTTGGACCTATGTATAGTGAAACTCTTAAACAATGTACAAATATAAATAATTGTTATCACGTTTTTTTGTATTGTATGATGTATTGCTTACTGAGGTCGTACCAGATATGCTTGTTATCATGTATATACAGGATAGACTTAACTTTCATTTATATTTATAGATAAAAAACCCGAATGTTTTACTTGTTATGATGCCCACAGAATGGAATGTATGTAATTATTCTTGCAATTCAGCCTCTGGGCTGTGAAAATGTTTCAATCAATAAACCAGTAATATATTACCTGTTACGTCAAATGGCATGCCTTTAAGAAATGTATTAAAGCTCCAGAAATGAATTTTCAATTTTGTAGAATGACTTTGAATTGTCCCCAAAACTAGTGGAGATACCCCACATGTTCGACCCATATTTATTCCTTCTGAGAGAAGCCTGTTGGAGACTACACCGGAGCCCTGAGAGAAGCCTGTTGGAGACTACACCAGAACCCTGAGAGAAGCCTGTCGGAGACTTCACGCAAGCCCTGGGAGAAGCCTGTTGGAGACTACACCAGAGCCCTGAGAGAAGCCTGTCGGAGACTTCACCTAAGCCCTAAGAGAAGCCTGTTGGAGACTATACCGGAGCCCTGGGAGAAGCCTGTTGGAGACTTCACCCAAGCCCTGAGAGAGGTCTGTTGGAGACTACGATGAAGCCCTGAGAGAAGCCTGTTGGAGACTATGCCGGAGCCCTGAGAGAAGCCTGTTGGAGACCTCACCCAAGCCCTGAGAGAGGTCTGTTGGAGACTACCATGAAGCCCTTACAGAAGCCTGTTGGAGACTACGCTGGAGCCCTGAGAGAAGCCTGTTGGAGACTACACCGGAGCCCTGAGAGAGGTCTGTTGGAGACTACCATGAAGCCCTGAGAGAAGCCTGTTGGAGACTATGCCGGAGCCCTGAGAGAAGCCTGTTTGAGACTACGCCGGAGCCCTGAGAGAAGCCTGTTAGAACTTCACCCAAGCCCTGAGAGGGGTCTGTTGGAGACTACGCCAGAGCCCTGAGAGAAGCCTGTTGGAGACTACACCGGAGCCCTGAGAGAAGCCTGTTGGAGACTACCATGAAGCCCTGAGAGAAGCCTGTTTGAGACTACACCGGAGCCCTGAGAGAAGCCTGTTGGAGACTACCATGAAGCCCTGAGAGAAGCCTGTTGGAGACTTCACCCAAGCCCTGAGAGGGGTCTGTTGGAGACTACGCCAGAGCCCTGAGAGAAGCCTGTTGGAGACTACGCCGGAGCCCTCAGAGAAGCCTGTAGGAGACTACGCCGGAGCCCTGAGAGAAGCCTGTTGGAGACTACACCGGAGCCCTGAGAGAAGCCTGTTGGAGACTACCATGAAGCCCTGAGAGAAGCCTGTTGGAGACTACGCCGGAGCCCTGAGAGAAGCCTGTTGGAGACCACGCCGGAGCCCTGAGAGAATCCTGTTGGAAATTACACTGGAGCCCTGAGAGAAGCCTGTTGGAGACTACGCCGGAGCCCTAAGAGAAGCCTGCAGGAGACTACACCCAAGCCCTGAGAGAAGTCTGTTGGAGACTACGCCGGAGCCCTGAAAGAAGCCTGTAGGAGACTATGACGGAGCCCTGAGAGAAGCCTTTTTGAGACTACACCGGAGCGCTGAGAGAGGTCTGTTGGAGACTACACCAGAGCCCTGAGAGAAGCCTGTAGGAGACTACGCCAGAGCCCTAAGAGAAGCCTGTTGGAGACTACACCCAAGCCCTGAGAGAAGTCTGTTGGAGACTACGCTGGAGCCCTGAAAGAAGCCTGTAGGAGACTACGACGGAGCCCTGAGAGAAGCCTTTTTGAGACTACACCGGAGCGCTGAGAGAGGTCTGTTGGAGACTACACCAGAGCCCTGAGAGAAGCCTGTTGGAGACTACACCATAGCCCTGAGAGAGGTCTGTTGGAGACTACACTGGAGCCATGAGAGAAGCCTGTTGGAGACTACGATGAAGCCCTGAGAGAAGCCTGTTGGAGACTACGCCGGAGCCCTGAGAGAAGCCTGTTGGAGACTACACAAAAGCCCTGGGAGAAGCCTGTTGGAGAGTATACCGGAGCCCTGAAAAAAAAGAGGTCTGTTGGAGGCTACACCGGAGCCCTGAGAGAAGTCTGTTGGAGACTACACTGGAGCCTTGAGAAAAGTCTGTTGTAGACTACAATCAGGCCCTGAGAGCAGCCTTGTGGAGACAAGGTAGGTACCAAGTCCAACTGCGGTGAGAGACAAGAGGTCAGGGGTAGGTTATAAAGAGACATGGCCGCCCGACGGAACTTAGATTACGTTAAGGCCCGGTCACACTGGCGGAACTTTGCTGGAGCGTTGCTTGAACGGTGAATAAAATTCATCACCGCTCGAAACCGCTCACCACCGCTAAACAGAAGTTGGCCCCCGTTAAAGCAACGCCGTGTACGCCCGGCCACCGCTGACGTTTCTGGAGGGGCCCTCCTACCGCTCCGAAAGTTTTGAGCTGCACAAAATATTGCGAGCGGTGAGGAGGGGGAAATTTTCCGCTCCGGCAAAGTTCACCCCCGCTCTACCAACGCCCAGTCAAAGTTTGGCATCGCTAGACGCAAGTTCGTGGACGCTTGGGTCCGCTAGGCCAACGCAGAAATCTTGAACGCTTGACCACCGCTGCTTCGCCAGCGTTGCCCGGGCGGCGATTAAACGTTGCACAAACGTTGCACAAACTTCGCTGGAGCGGTTGCAAGCGTTTTACGAGCGGACACGGGGTTGCTGGAACGGTGTCAGGCGTTGAAGCAGCGATCCATGTCGGCAATGAACTTTGGTTTGGCGTTGGTATAGAGGTGTCGGAGCGGGACCAGAATTTGGCTATAAGTACGGTGAGAAATGGACCAGGTGCTCATTTGGAATCGAGCTGCCGTTGAGTTCAGGCCTCATCTATATCGAATTTGCTCGAAGTTACAGTAAAACTGCATCACCCTGGATGCTGAGAGACTTGCTATGATTGGTGCACTAGTGTGCAATTATTTTGGGGCCACACGTAAAATGTTCAAAGAAGGGTCACACGGACAATCACTTTATTGGGGTCACAGGGGAGCTTTGCAATCTGCAAAGTTTTATTTTCATTATTAATTAAATAACGTAGTCAAGAATAGATTAACAAAATGATGTTTATTAAAGCTATAAGTCCCCACACACACAGAACAGAACTTAAACTACTACAAAACGATCCGTTCAACTCCGAAGTCACAAGCGGTATGCCGCTAAACCGCATGCGCAGAACGCCGCTATACCAACGCTTGCGTCACCGCTATACCAACGTTCGCTACCGCTAAACCAATGCTAAAGCAACGTCGGCTTCAGCGGTACACCGCTAAGTCAACGCCCGTGTTTTTCTTTTTTTCCCCACATTTTGGGCGCGGTGACGAGCGTTGTCGAAATTCGGACACCGTCCCTACCGTTAAAGGAACGCTCCAGCAAAGTTCGGCCAGTGTGACCGGGCCTTTAACATAATCAATTAGTCAACTAACAAAAAATTAATTTTGTGAAATTACTCCGCCCACAATTAATTGTCTACTCCCTTTGAAGGCTTTTATTTTGTTTGCTGTAAAATCGTGAACAAACATGTAGATGTGTTTATCAGACGTAAAATATATCATCCGGGTAATCAGGAGAGAACGTTGACTTTTGACCCACACCATAATGATGTATGACCTCATGTAACGACAGAAGGACAGAAAGAATGAAAGTGCAAAGGGGTAACGTTATATGTAGAATGAATGCATTGCTTATAATACTAGTACATAGTATACAAGCTGTAGTAATGTCTGCACATGTTTGCATGTATACATAAATCTTGAATATATTAATAAATTATATTTGCATATATGGGAATATACCATGCTCCCGCTACCGAGTTCCAGTTTACGTGACGAGAAAAACCGTCATAGGAAGCAGGTAAGGCTTAGTGGCGAGCAACCAAGTATTCTGGTAAGCACATAAAGAAATTGAGCTTATTTTTGAGTAGGAAAGGCGACAGTAATATTATAGATTATACGCATTTTTTGGATGTGAACATAGAAGAACTGAAGGGGGAGGGGGGGGCGAAAGCAAACATACAGTACGTGCGACCTTGGCCTCTACCTAAGTTTTGTTTTCGTCTCGTTTCAAACCAGTTTGCCTGCTCGTAGTGCTCCGTTATGGAAAACGAGCTTTCTGCTTTAGGATGATGAGCAAAAACTGCACCAGCGAGTTATGGATTTGAGCAACTTTGTACCGGAGTGTACCACTTTTCATGGGGGGGGGGGGGTACATGCTATACCTACCAGAAGTGCAGGTGGTTTTGAAAAAAGAAGAATCTCAGACTTCTAAATTATCATTACCTCCATGAAAAATGGAGGTATTGTTTTTGGCGTGTTGTTTGTGTGTGTGTGTACGTGTGTGTGAGTGTGTGTGTCCGTGTGTGTGTTTGTGTTTCCGCACATTTGTAGACAGCATAACTTAATAACGCCTTTATGGATTGTGATGATATTTGGCATGGTGGTAAGTCTTAGGAAGGTGATGGCCAAGGTCAAATATGGGCCTCCTGATGGATGACCTTGGTACTGCAGCAGAACTTCCGATTTTTGTATCTTTTGTACTGAACATGCTATGTTCTTGACTTTTTTGGTGACAGATAGCTTTTCCTGTCAGGAATAAGTGGTGTGGGTTTGGTCCCCCTAGCATCTTGTTTTGGAACTGCGGGGTACTTTCTGGCGAAACCTTTAAAAGCCAATAAATCCAGATGGGAACAGCGAATTTTCATCATTTTCAATGTGTAGGTAGCCGAGAGAGAGAGTTGTACATAATCAAATGCATATTATGCAAATGAGGGCTTAATTTGCATAATTAATTAGGAAATTCTATAATTACAGTGTTTTATATAATAATACCTTTATACATGTAATCTATTTAATCTGTGGCAGGTGGAACATCAACAGATACCAGTTATGCAAATGAGGACCTAATTTACATAATTAATGTGAAAATTCTGTGACTCCTTATTGGTGAATGATGAGAATATTATACCTTGTGACATGTGTAAGTTAACACCATTATGCATATATTATGTTAATTTAGAAGTCATTTGCATAATTAATGAGGATATGTTAAAATGAAGGATGACAAAGGAGAGGAATTTTACACGAAAAATATTGTCATTTGAATTTA